CACTCAATGTCTTCCAACTTCATTTATAGCCATCGCAGTTAGTAATTGTCACTAGAAAACACAAGCTTACACAGCCCACGACTGAATACGGATGTGTAGTGTTGTGTCGTCGTGTGCACGAAAGTGTCTAGGGATATTGCAATTGGAAAGCACCCATTATTGAGTATGAAATTGTGTACATTGATATTATGTTATTCTTACTTGGTGTTTACCGAGTCTCTCCTCTTATATCAGAAAAATTTAAATTTTTTAATTAAAACAATGGGGGGGATAAAAGAATACTGCTTTGCGTAAAAGCGATCGACTCTTTATTTGACAAAATCCCATGTTCGATCCGAATCCAAAGTTCATTATACAAATAGGGACTTATATGTGGGGAGGAACATATACAATAAAAATAATTACATTTAACAATTATTAATTATTCGAATTCTAGAGTGATTCATTCTATCCATTTTAAGGTAACAGATTTATGAAAAGTTGCATCTACAAATTTTCTTACTATTTTATGGGAATATAATACATAACATATTTTATATCTAAAACAAATTTTATAAATTCGTTACTCTATTATAAAAAAATTCTTCACTCACCAATTCAATGTGCAACGGGTGGAATTTGTAACACATAAATAATATAAGATTTAAATCAAACAGTAATCAAAATAAAATCAATGTTTTAAGACAATTCTTTACGCGTTGAAATTTTTTATTTATCTTTCGATTAAATATTTGCTAATATAATTATTTACCTCCTGAAAAAATTTTTACAAGAATAAATCTTTTATAAAATTTTAGATGATTTCTCTTTCTCTAATTACTTATATTTTTTACTGAGAAAATAATCCGAATAAACGAAAAAGAATTATTAAAACTTTATGCAAGTAAAAAATAATACTGACCCCACACAAGGTTACTTCACCGGTGCAAGCACCCGATGCCTTTCTAGGCCTGCTACTTTCAATGTTTTCTTTCTCCACCTTCCCATAAGTTATCACTACTCTTTTTCAGATTACACTCTCATCGATGCATAAGAGCAAAATTGTAATGTATACAACACTGATTTGAAACACAAAAAATTATCTATGTTTAAAATAAATACATAGAATTCTTGCAATTCTTATTTTATTTCTAACTTCGACAAATATTTAATAAAGAAAATAATGTCGCGTTCGAACGAATTATCAGCGTATGTCGAATCTATATTACGCAAGATTAATTAGATGCAAGATTAATATAAATTTCGTTTATCAATTATATTAGTCATGGCGCTTTTTGTTCAGGAACCGATCCATCCTGTATGTACGTATTGTGCAAATGAATCATGCAATTAATAAAAATACAATTAATATATCAAAGCAGCTAATTTGTTTCTTGCGCAGTAAATTTTATGCGTTAAGAGTGACGCAACGACCGAACATAACTGGCGAAATACGTGTCGGAATATTGTTGTGCCGCTGTACTGCACGGGTTCGGGATCCACTTAGGACTCGGGGGAGTTTGCACATTGAACAAAACTTGTTGTAGTTTTGTACTGAATATATAAATATAATCTTTGATATTGCGATACACTATTTTTATTCTATTATCATCACCAATTCACCTATCGGCACTTGCGTCGCGATAGTATATTAGACGTATTCGAACCGCGCGTCACGACGTGTTACGCTATTTTATTTGACCGAATTACTCACTGAGAATTGTCTGACTGGCTCCCCAGTCGCCTACGCGGCCGCGCTTTTATTAATTATTTTGAGGTCGCCCGTATAGCCTCGTCAGCGTTCTACTCGGACGAGGCCAGCGTCCGCGCAATATCTTAGTCAGCGGTCGAGTACTGCTTTTATTATAATAATTGGTTTACATATCATATTGGCAATAATATGATTGCGCTAACGTTATTTTAGTATTTCGCCACGTTCTGTGGCGAAATCGTCACAGTGGATATAGAGCAGTTTTGCACTCGTGACAATATGTTATTAATGTAGGAATCTATATTACGCGATTAGAGATGGGCATAGCGGAACATTATATTATTTCAAAACATTAGGAACAGTCACTCTAATGTTCCGTTCATTTGTTTTCCGCTCTCTTTTAGTAAGATGGCACAGTCCTACAAGTCATGAACGTTCCATTCACTTTGACCGGATTCTTTTACTGACCAAAAAATTCAAAAAAAAACTCGGTCTTTCCTGGCTATTCGTTCCCTTTTTACTCAATTTTTTTAATTTTTATTACCCAAAAGGCTACACCGATCACGCTAGCTAATACTATAAATCCTTTTACATTTTTACTAATCTGTGGTTCGAAAGGTACGTAGTACACTGCTGTTCAATAATCGAGTCTCACTTGAGTCGCACTTGGGTGTAGATGAGATGGCGCTTACCCTACACACTTCTCCACCCTCCTACACTCGAGGGACTCGATTAATGAACAGCAGTGTACATAAATCACATTGCTCATCCTCTCCTCTCCAGAAAGAATGGTTGCGTTCGGCGGACTCAATTGTTGCGGAGCAGATCCGTGAGCGCCCGCTGCTATTGGTGTATTCTTTCAGATCATCCAATCAACATTCCAACAATACGAAGCAAAATCCATCGAAATTCTATTTTCTGATTGGTTGCAGAGCATCGGACGACGCACATTGTATGCAGTGTGAATCCAGCAACAGACTAGTAAAAGGATCCGTTCAAAATGAACGAAACATCTCTGAACAGTACATCTCTAGTTTCGTTCATTTTTTCCATGGCGTTTCGAATCTTTCGGTCAGTAAACGCCTTGGCACATAGAAAAACTTAAGACGTAAGACTTAGAACCATTTCACACAAACTTGCATAGTCGCATAAACATATGCATAAAGAAAATCATCCAATCGTAGTTTACGTTTGTCTTTATGACAGAAATGTGATTGAATAATTTGCTTTATGCATATGGTTATGCGGTTCTGCAAGTTTGTGTAGAATGGTCCTTAAGCAGTAAGCGAATCAACCAATCACAATAGAGACCGTAAGACCATATGTAAGCTATAGCAAATCCAAAATGTTGATTTCGTTACTGCTTAAGGGCCATTCCACACAAACTTGCAGAGCCGCATAACCATATGCATAAAGCAAATTATTCAATCACATTTCTGTCATAAAGACAAACGTAATACGATTGGATGATTTTCTTTATGCATATGTTTATGCGACTATGTAAGTTTGTGTGGAATACCCTTAAGTCTTAGCCCGGATCCTCATACGGGCAACAACGCTCTGACACTGAACGCTGATTGGTGAAAAACGGGCGATGGGAGTAAATTTTACCCCCACAATTGGCTTTTCACTAATCAGCTCTCGGTGTCAAAGCGCTGTTGCCTGTATGAGAATCCGGGCTTACGCCTTAAGTTTTTTTATGTGCCATGGCTTTAATTCTCATGTTTCTCAGCAGTGTTGTTAGATGGGTCGGATTTTTTACGCATGCGCGTCCAATGTAGCTTCAGTAACGTACCGGTCACTAGTAAATAGAAGATCATTAGTCGCTTATGTAAAATTTTTTCAAAAATGTTGAAAATTTTAATATATTTTACATATGCATACATATATATAAATATATATAATATATTTCTATATATGTTTACATATGTAAAATATGTAAAATATATTAAAATTTTCAACATTTTTGAAAAAATTTTACATAGGCGACTAATGATCTTCTATTTACTAGTGACCGGTACGTTACTCAAGCTACATTGGACGCGTATGCGTCAGAAATCCGGCCCGTCTAAGCCCGGATCCTCATACGGGCACCCCCACAACCGGCTTTTCAATTAGCGCTCTGTGTCAAAGCATTGTTGCCCGTACGAGGATCCGGGCTAACAACACTGTTTCTCAGTTTCTCTCTGTCGACAATGGCTACGTTCAGCAGACTCGGCAGTTTTGCAACCGTTTTGTGATTCTTCGCTGTGATAGGACTATTCCTTTAAATCTAAAAGTATGATCCAATCAGCACGACGAATCATAAAACGGTTGCAAAACTGTTGAGTCTGCTGAACGCAGCCACCAGCGTTGCCAGATCGTAGATTCTCTCCCTAGATTTAGGGTTATTTTTAAGGTTTGGGGAGAAATTTAGGGAGACAAAATGTTTAGGGAGAATATTTAGGGAGACAAAATGTTTTTTAGGGATATTTTAGAGAGGGTATTCCATGTGACGGATATTCCTTGATTATTAGTAATAATTCCTATTAGTTATATTGAGTGCTTTGCATTCAATAAATCTTTTTAGATTAACAAAAAATGTCATATATATAGAGGGTTTCTCTCTGATATATATGGCTATGTTTACATCGTGCGTTTAGTCCGCGACCTATACAACAGGTGTCTTTGTTTAACCTACAGGATAAACAAGGACATCTATTGTATAGGCCGCGGTCTAAATGCACGGTGTAAACGTAGCCTATCTATACAGGGTGTTGTGGACTTGTGAAATTTGCTGATTAATACTTGTCTTACTGTGATTGAGTTTATTAGTGTACAAAAACATTACAACGGTATGACATTATCTTGCTCGAGTATACGTTCCTTTCTATGGCGTTACAAAAAATTAACAGTTCGTTCGTCTTCTCTTCTACGATCACCACTTTCTATCTCGATCGATACGAGTTATCGAGCGTTGCTCCCTCTGGTAACCTGGGTATTCTTCAAACACTCGATCGATATAGCCCTAGGCGTCTTAATTCCCACTAGACTATAATGCTCTAGGGAACTCATAAAATAAAGTTTATGTTATAACCAAATCTGAAAATAAAATAAATTTAGAAAGCGCATTGACTCCGTTACATCCCGGCTCGCCTTAGAAGGCCAACTTTCAAATTAAAATTTAGGGATTCATGAAACCAGAGTAAGACTTAGATACTTAAGATTGCACTATAAGATATAATAATTAAATCGTTATTAATATGATATAGGTCATTATAATTAAATTGTTACTGATAAAATATAGGTCATAATTTGGACTCCTTAGGCCTTAAACTTCCTCATTGGTTCCACCGTTCAATGGAAGCGCACACAGTTTTCTTATAGGCCTTTTATATAGTCCATGCGCTGTTTTGACAGTAGCCACCCTGGCCACTCGGTCGCTGCCTGGATGAAGTTCAATCACCCGTCCTAAACTCCATTTGCTGGGAGGATTGGATTCGTCCATCAACAAAACCATCGTGCCTACTGTTAGAGCGGTTGAATTATGATACCATTTGGTACGCATTTGCAGTTGATGCAAATATTCCCTTTGCCAACGCGACCAAAAGTGCTGACGAACTCGTTGCTGATGCTGCCAACGTGATAAAGTGTTAACCAGAAGGTTTAGCAAATTTCTTTGAACAGGTTCGGCTTGTGATTCTCCGAATAAGAAGTGAGCTGGAGTTAGTGCAGTTAAATCGTTAGGATGAGAAGATAAAGGGACTAGAGGACGGGAATTTAAAACTGCTTCTATTTCGGTAAGCAATGTACTAAACTCTTCGTAAGTCAATATGAGCTCTCGGGTGACAGTATACAAATGCCTTTTTGTTGCCTTTACGGCAGCCTCCCACAATCCACCGAAATTCGAAGATCTGGGTGGTATAAATTTCCAGTCAATATTTTTTGAGGCTAAGCGTGTTTTAATTTCTTCTGTTTGGTCTTCTATAAATTGATAGAGCTCCTTCAATTCTCTTAATGCTCCAACGAAGTTTGTAGCGTTATCCGAGTATAAGGTAGTGCAAAGACCCCTTCTTGCAGTGAATCTTCGCAATGCTGCTAAAAATGCTTCGGTTGTTAGATCCGTAACGGCTTCTAAATGTACTGCCTTAGTGTGAAAGCAGACGAATAATGCGATGTATCCCTTTGATAAAGGTATCCTACCTCTTCTCCTTCCTTCTCGAATTTGAACAGGCCCAGCGTAATCGACGCCACTGATCGTGAAGGGTCTCACCGTTCCTTGCAATCGATCTCTAGGTAGATCTGCCATGATGGCCTCTAAGGGTTTAGGTTTAAGTCGAAAGCATTGTAGGCAATGTCTAGTGACCTTACGTGCTTCCTGTCTCCCTGCTAATGGCCAATATCGTAGTCTAATAGATGCCAAAAGTTGCTCTGGCCCGCAATGTAATAGTCTGCAGTGTTCTTCTCGGATATAAGAGTAGTTATATGGTGTTTCGAAGGTAAGATATATGGATGTTTTTGATCTATGCTGATCTCAGCATGTCGTATTCTTCCTCCCACTCTGATCAATTCTTGTTCATCAAGGAACGGACGTAAGGTAAGCAACTTGCTTTTGCGATGAATCTCTCTTCCGTTTCGCAAATCTTCTATCTCCTTTCCGTACACTTGACGTTGTACTAATCTGATGATGATAATTGTAGCTTGCTATAACTCTTCGATCGTTAAAGATCCCTTTTTTTAAATACTTCTTAGATTAGCTGCAAATCGTATGCAGTAGGCAATGACTCTTCTTAACTTAATGATAGAAGAAAATTTATATATAAGATCATACATATCCGAGATAGCTGCTAATGAGATATCTCCTTTAAGTTCCGGTATGTCTTCTAAATTGTAAATTTCTTGGCTTGGCCGTTCCGTTGGACGCATTAACCATAGCGGACCGTGCCACCATATATAATTATTCCTTAATTCCTCAGTAGTCGTGCCTCGAGATAACAAATCCGCTGGATTGCTACTTGATTCCAACCTTTACTTGAAGTGTGTTTTTGTATATTCGCAACTCGATTCGCCACATACGTTTTCAATTTGTGAGAAGGCGTTTTAATCCAACTGAGCACAATGGTAAAGTCCGTCCAAAAACTCACGCTGTTAATTCTGGTCGACAATATACGATTTACACTGCTGAACAGTTTGGCTGCTAGATATGCCGCATTTAGCTCCAATGTGACTGGGCAATGTGACTGATTTTAATGGAGCTATGCGTGATTTGGAGCACAGTAAATGTGCAGTAGCTTGTCCATCTTGATTTTGACTACAAACATAAATACATGCTCCATAAGCCTTTTCTGAAGCATCACAAAAAACGTTAAGATCCGCCAATAGAGATGGATTGTCTGGGTTACAATTGCGTGGCACTATTAACGTTTGAGCCGAATTGAGAGAACTGCAATATTTGGACCAGCTGTCTCGTAAACGAATTGGCAATTCCTCGTCCCAATTAAGCTTTTCTTTCATAGTTGTTGCATCAACTACTTTGCTACCACTAAGACTGGCTCGATAAGATCCAGAGGATCAAAGATTTTCGAGATTAAAGATAGTAATTGCCTTTTTGTTGTTGGTAGTTCCTTCATTATTTGTACTTCATATTGTAAGTAATCCCTTTCTGCGTTCCAATGCAGTCCAAGGGTTTTCAAGACCTCATGTTTATTTAAAATTAAAAATTCGTCCCTTTCGCTATCTTGAGCTAACGAGCTAAGCACTCTTCTATTGTTGCTTCTCCATTTGCGTAGATAAAATCTTCCTCGCTGTAACAGTTCCATTAATTCCTGTTGTAACCGGCATACTTCCTCCTCAGTATGCGTTCCTGTGAGAAGGTCATCCATATAGAAATCACCTTGTAGCACCCTTGCGGCTGTAGGATAAGTGTCACTTTCTTGAATTGCTAACTCCTTTAAGCATCGGATTGCTAGAAAGGGTGCCGAAGAAGTACCATATGTTAACGTGTTTAAACGAAAAATCTGGATTTCTTCGTCGTTATTTGATCTCCATAAAATTCTTTGAAGATCCCTATCCTGTTCTTTCACAAGGACTTGTCGGTACATCATTTCCAAGTCAGCAGTCAATACGTATTGATGCATTCTAAACTTCAATAATAATGCGAATAAAGTATCTTGCAACTGAGGATCTACTAATAGCTTGTGGTTTAGTGACACTCCCGATGCTGATAAAGCCGACGCGTCAAAAACCACCCTCAACTTACTGGTTAATACATTGCTTCTTACTACAAGATGATGCGGTATGTAATAAATATCCTGCCCACTCTTCGATGTATTTTCTTCGACACGTGACATATGTCCAAGCGTTTCATATTTCTCCATAAACTGAATGTATTCCAACTTCAATTCTGGCTGTCGTGCAAATCGGTTTTCTAATGCGTACAGTCTCTTCACTGCTGTGCTATACGACTCCGCAAGCTCGATATCCTCCCGTTGAGGCAATCCTACTACGAATCTACCTTCTATATTTCGTTGCATTGTTGCCTTGAAGTGCTCCTCACATTTTCGCTCCTCTGGAGAGTAATGCCTTTGCTCGATGATTTCTTCGGATTGCCACATTCTCTCCAGCTGCTGACTTAATTCGTCGTTTGTTAGTAGATTGCACATCACCTTATCGTCACTTGACAATTCCGTAAGAGTTCCTCCGAGTATCCATCCTAAAGACATGTTCTGCATTCGCGGTTGTCCGGGAAGCAACTCAATATGTTCATCCTTCATAATCTGCCAGAAGGTTCCTGATCCGATTAATAGATCAATGGCTCCTGGCTTGTGAAAGTCTTTGTCTGCTAGCATCACGTAACTTGGTATTGGTAACCTTGAGATGTCAATAGGATCTTGAGGTATCTGTTCTGTAATTCTGAGTAAAGCCGGCGGCACACGATGCTTGTTTTCCTGCTGGATTGCTAGCTGGATTAGAATCTTGTCACCGTATTGGCTGCGATGCTGGC